AATTTGTGAAAGCATATTTTAGAGCTGGAAAAATATGCATTGTGCATATTTTAACTGCCATTATTAGCATTACTTCATTCCTGTGTTGTAATTTTTTTACATTTGCTCTGTCAATCACTCTACACCTCTCCAGTTTTTTCATTTTCTTCTGGAGAATAGCACAGAATTTCTTTAATTCACCCTAATGTGCCATGCCTTTTTGTTTGCTGAATTTGTATGTCTATTAGAATGTAATTAGCTTCAGGTTTTGTACTTTTTACATTCTGCAATAAATTTTACACATCAAAATATGCATAAGAATGTTTTGGAAAACTATTAGGGAAATGGATTTGCAAAAAAAAAGTGTATATTAGCATAAATTGAATGCAATGTTTCCACAAATGACTTTGTGCACAATAATCCATAGAAATTTACATATCCATAAATGAATGTGAATATGGGTCAGAATTAACTATAGCTGAGAATATCCAATACCGGACAAACATTTCCATTTGTCCATCTTTGGCGTTCTTCTCTTCAGCCAACCTCAGGTAACCAGTATGACCATAGTCTGAAATTTCTCTCAAACACAGTCCCAATATATCTGGAGGTGCCACAGTCACTGGAAGAAATAAATGTTAAAAATTCATATGTTCATTTCAAATGAAAAAACAAATCTTGTGGGAAACACAGCAGAATCATAATTACTTTGTCCCCTTGTGGTTAAGCTTTGAAACAACACTTCAAATTAAAAGTTTTCAGACATGATAGAAATCTTTCAGAATTTTAGTTGATACATAATATTATACTATTCCACAAAAAACAATTAATCAGAATAGAGTTGGACCTTGGAGGGACCTTGGAGGTATTCTAGCCCAACCCACTCCTCAAGCAGGAAATCCTATACCATTTCAGACAGGTGGCTCTCCAGTCTCTTCTTAAAAACCTCCAGGGATGAAGCACCCACAACTTCTGAGGGCAAAGCTGTTCCACTGGTTAATTGTCCTCCGTGTTGGGAAGTTTCTGCTTAATTCCAGGTTGTTTCCCTCCTTGATTAGTTTCCATCCATTGTTTCTTGTCCTGCCCTCTGGTGCTTTGGAAAATAAGTTGACCACTGAACCACAGAAGAAGGAGATGTTGATTTATTTATCACACTATTTTTATTCAACTCCATGAATTATCTCCATAATCCTGTCCTGATCATGTATTGGTCTATTCATATATTTTATAAAATTGGTATAGAAATACATTTTGGGACCAATGGGCTACAGGTAGTCCTGGACTTACAACATTCTTTTAGTGACTGTTTAAAGTGGAAATGGCATGGAAAAATATGACTTATGACCGTTTTTCACACTTGTGACTGTTGCAGCATCTCCATGGTTGCATGATTGAAATTCAGAGGCTTGGCAATTGGTTCATATTTATGACAGTGTCCCAGAGTTATGTGATCACCTCATGTGACCTTCTGACAAGCAAAGTCAATGAGGAAGCCACTTAACAACAGTGTTTTAACTTAAGTGCTGCAGTTATTCACTTAATAACAAGAAAGGTCATAACATGCAACAAAATTCACTTATCAACTGTCTCACTTAGCAACAAAAATTTTGGGCTCAATTGCGGTTGTAAGCCGAGAACTACAGTGGAGCCTCAGGTCGTGAGGGTAATCGGTTCTGGTCGCAACCTGATTTGGTTGTGTCTGGAAGCACTGCGCTCGGTCAAAATAAAAATGCCACTGAAGGAGAAATCGGCGCGGAAAGGGAATCCTTATGCGCCAATTTTGTTCGCCACCCAAATTTTGAATTGTGACCCGATTCAAAAATCGGGTGGATTTTTTGTTCACCACCCGATTTGTTTGCGAACAGGAGCGTTCACGACCCAAGATAATGCGGAATTTTGAGAGTCTTCTGGGCCAGGAAAATGATATTAGGTTACTCATTACAGTTCTCTCAAGAGATAATTCCTTATAAATTTTTTCTCATGATTCCCTCAGTTCAAGCCCTAACACACTTATATATTAGAGCATGAATACACTGAATTTGGCATCTTTGAGATTGCCTTGTAACTGTGACTGAATCAAAGTGACATGGTAACTAGGTAACAATGTGCAAAGGGTGATGTTTTAATTCAATTTTTCACACTTCAGCACTCTGCTTTCCATAGCACAATCTGTAAAGCTTGCCAGTGAGAACAGAAACAAAGTCTATTTCAGTTTTTACTGATCAGCAAGGTCTAATAATTTGTTATGGCTGTATATTAAACAAGGGAAGGGTTTTGGTTTTTTTGCTCTCAATGGCAGATACTGAATATAAATATATATATATATATTTGCTTAGAACAGGTGAAATTATTGTGAAAGAAATAATCGAAGAATTGGTCAGCCCCTCTTGCAATAATACAATTCAGAAGTCTATGGAGATTCTCAGTCATCCAGGTCATGGTTGTCCCAAAGATGCTTTTTCAAAAAGTGACTGGACTTTTTGATTTCCCCTTAAAGATGTTTTGCTTCTCATCTAAGAAGCATCAGTACTGAAGAATGGATGACAGGTGAAACTTCATCAAGGAAAAACAAAGAAGGTCCAATTGCCTTTTGAAAAAGCACCTCTAAGACAATTCAGAAGAATTTACCTGTGGAAATGAACAAGTAATGTGTGTATGTGTTGCCATCTTCAAGGTTACACAAACCTGAATTGTAAAAACCATAAACATGTGTTCTTTAGAACCATGTTAAGCAAAGCTATAATTATATGGTAAATGTATTAGATATTTTGCTGTATTCGTATGCTTGGTTTATAAGTATAAAAATTCAATATAAAAATTGATCTGTACTTTAAGCACGTGGATATTTTTAGTTCATTCTGATGACGTGGCTTGGTTTTCTTGTGGTAGCTTTTCACTTTGAGAAAGATAGACATTTTACTTGTTTATTAATTTTAAAAATGAACACTTTTGTGGAAATGGCTTGCTTTTGTAGAATTCCATTTTTCCATGGAATTTGTTGCAAATAGATTACCGTATTTATCGGCGTATAACACGCACTTTTTTCCCCCTGAAAATAGGGGGCAAATGATGTATGCGTGTTATACGCCTATATAATGTTAAGAAGCCTTCGGTGAATGCTGCTGGGATCGGGGATCAAGGACACAAATGAAAGAAGGGGAGGGAGGAAGCAACCGAAGCCTGTCCTTCTCTCTGGGTCAGCTCTCTCAGTCGCTCTCTCGCTCCTCCACCAGCACAGGAAGAAACTGCTTCAAAGAAGCGGGGGGGGGGGGGGGGGG